GTCAGTTTTGTTGACCTTTTTTTTTGTTGTTGTTGACCTTTTTGAAGAACTTTTGGGGGTGCTTGGGTGGTGGGCTTGAGGTGTCTGCATTTGGCTTAGGTCATGATCTCAGAGTCCTGGGATTGAGTCCTGCATCAGGCTCCCTCTTCAGCCTGAAGTCTGCTTCTTCCTCTGCCCTCCCCCGCCCCGCCTCATGCACTCTCTCTCTCTCTCTCTCAAATAAATACATAAATAATCTTTTTTAAAAAATAAAGAAATTGAGACAACATTGACATAACATTGTATGTTTCAGGTACACAACAGATTTGATATTTGTGTATGTGGTGAAATGATCACTACATTGAGTTAACATCTGTCAGCACAGTTACAATTTTTTTTCTTGTGATAAGAACTTTTAAAATCTATTCTGTTAGTGACTTTTAACTATGTAATATATACTATAGTCACCATGCTGTACATTACATCTCCCTAACCTACTGATTTTATTTTATTTTATTATTATTTTTTAACCTACTGATTTTATTTTATTTTATTATTATTTTTTAACCTACTGATTTTAAAACTGAGTTTGTGCCTTTTCACCCCTTTCACCCCATTACCTAGCAACCACCAGTCTGCTCTTTGTATTTATGAATTAAGTTTGTGTATGTGTGTTGTTGTTGGTTTTTTGGGGTTTTTGTTTGTTTTGTTTTTCAGGGGAATTTTTTTTAGATTTCACATATAAGTGAGATCACCTGGTGTTTGTCTCTCTCTTAGTTCACTTAGCATAATGCCCTCAAGGCCCATCCATGTTACTGCAAATGGCAAGGTTTCATTCTGTTTTTATAGCTGAATAATATTCCAGCGTGTGTGTGTGTGTGTGTGTGTGTACCACATTTTCTTTATTTCTTCATCCAGTGATGAACACTTAGGTTGCTTCCATGTCTTGGCTATTATAAATAATACTGCACAGAGCATTGGGGTGCAGATATTTTTTTCAAGTTAGGGTTTTTGTTTGCTTCGGATAAATAACCCAGCATTGGAATTATTGAATCATAAGTTTTAGTTTTAATTTTTTTGAGGAACCTCCTTACTGTTGTTCACAGTGGCTGCTCTAGTTTGCATTCCCACCAACAGTGCAGGAGAGTTCCCTTTTTTCCACATTTTCACCAACACTTATTATTTCTTATCTTTTTTTTTTTTATTTTTATTTATGATAGGCACATAGTGAGAGAGAGAGAGAGGCAGAGACACAGGCAGAGGGTGAAACAGGCTCCATGCACCGGGAGCCCGACGTGGGATTCGATCCCGCGTCTCCAGGATCGTGCCCTGGGCCAAAGGCAGGTGCCAAACCACTGCGCCACCCAGGGATCCCATAAAGTAGTTTTTTAATTATTTCTTATCTTTTTGACTCTAGTTGTTCTGATAGGTATAAGGTGATATCCCACTGTGAATTTGCATTTCCCTGATGATAAATGATGTTGAGTATCTTTTCACACACCTGTTGGCCATCTGGATGTCTTTGGGAAGGTGTCTCTTCAGACCCTCTGCCCATTTTTTAATTGGATTTGGTTTTTGTTTTTAAAGATTTTATTTATTTATTCATGAGACACACAGAGAGAGAGAGAGAGAGGCAGAGACATAGGCAGAGAGAGAAGCAGGCTCCATGCAGGGAGCCAGATGTGGGACTTGATCCTGGGATTCTAGGATAACACCCTGGGTCAAAGGCGGGTGCTCAAACACTGAGCCACCCAGGATTGTTTTTTTTTTTTGCTATTGAGTTGCATGAGTTTTTATACAGTTTGAATAGTAACTCTTTATGAAATATACAACTTGCAAATATTTTCACCCCTTCTGTAGATCTCTTTTTCCTCTTGTTGATGGTTTCCTTTGCTATACAGAAGATTTTTAGTTTGATGGAGCTCCACTTGTTAATTTTTATTTTTGATGCCTTTGCCTCTGGTGTCAAATTCAAAAAAATCATCGCCAAGACCAGTGTCTAACTCACCACTTACATTTTTTCCTAGAACTTTTATGGTTTCAGGTCTTACATTCAAGCCTTTAATCTATTTTTTTTATTATTATTTTATTAGAGAGGGGGAGGGGCGGAGGAAAAGAGAATATTAAGCAGGCTCTGCACCCAGTGTGGAGCCTGATGTGACACTCGATCTCATGACCTTGAGATCATAACCTGAGCCAAAAATCAAGAGTTGGATGCTTAGCCCACTGAGCCACGTAGGTGCCCCAAGTTTTTAATCTATTTTGAGCTAGTGTTTGTGTATGGTGTAAGACATTGGTCCAGTTTGATTCTTTTGCATATGGCTGTCCAGTGTTCCCAGCACCATTTATCAAAGAGACTGTTCTTTCTCCATTGTATATTCTTTTTTTTTTTTAAAGATTTATTTATTCATTCAGAGAGAGAGAGAAAGAGAGACAGGCAGAGACACAGGCAGAGGGAGAAGCGGGCTCCATGCAGGGAGCCCAATGTGGGACTCGATCCCAAGCCTCCAAGATCATGCCCTGGGCTGCAGGCAGCGCTAAACCGCTGCTCCACTGGGGCTGCCCTCCATTGTATATTCTTGCTTCTTTGTTATAAATTAATTAGCCATATATGCGTGAATTTATTTCTGGGCTCTCTGTTGTGTTTTATCAACCTGTATACTTGTTTTTGTTTTTTAAGATTTATTTATGTATGTATGTATGTATGTATGTATGTATTTATGATAGAGAGAGAGAGAGAGGCAGAGACACAGGCAGAGGGAGAAGCAGGCTCCATGCCGGGAGCCTGATGCGGGACTCGATCCGGGACTCCAGGATCCTGCCCTGGGCCAAAGGCAGGTGCCAAACCGTTGAGCCACCCAGGAATCCCCTGTATACTTGTTTTTATGCCATTATGATACTGTTTTGATTACTATAGCTTATAATATAGTTTGGAATTAGGGATTTTTTTTTTTTTTTTGAGTTAGGGAATTTGATGCCACTACTTTTGTTCTTCTTTCTCAAGATTGCTTTGGCTATTCAGGATCTTCTTTTTTTAAAATTTTTTTTAATTTTTTTTTTAATTTATTTATGATAGTCACAGAGAGAGAGAGAGAGAGAGAGAGAGAGAGAGAGGCAGAGACACAGGCAGAGGAAGAAGCAGGCTCCATGCACCGGAAGCCCGATGTGGGACTCGATCCCGGGTCTCCAGGATCGCGCCCTGGGCCAAAGGCAGGCGCCAAACCGCTGTGCCACCCAGGGATCCCCAGGATCTTCTTTGATGCCATACAAATTTTACGATTGTTTTACTTCTGTGAAAAATGCCATTGGAATTTTCATAGGGATTGCATTGAATTTTAGATTGTTTTAGATAATATGGATATTTTTACAGTATTCTTCCAATCTATGAGAATTGAATAGCTTTCCAAGAATTTTAAAAATTCATGCAGGGGGACCTGGATGGCTCAGTCAGTTAAGTGTCTGACTCTAGCTCAGATCATGATCTTGGGGTCCTGGATATGAGCCCCACATTGATTTCCATGCTCAGCAGGGAGTCTGGTTCTCTCTCTGCTACTTCCCCACTCATGGGCTCACTCCTTCCTTCCTTCCTTTCATTTTTTTTTTTAAGACTTTATTTATTTATTCATGAGAGGCACAGAGAAAGACAGGCAGAGATATAGGCAGAGAGAGAAGCAGGCTCCATGCAGGTGATGTCGGACTTGATCCTGGGACTCCAGGATCACGCCCTGGGCCAAAGGCAGATGAGCTCAGGCTCAACCACTGAGCCACCCAAACATCCCTCTCTGTTTGTTTTTCAAATAAATAAATAAAATCCTAAAAAATAATAATAAAGTACATGATATTTTTTGAGATTTCCTTTTATTGTACTTTGGTAAATTTTACCTATTTATGCTGCCTTTATAAAAATAGTTGGTATTGGGCTCTCTGTGAGGAGCCTGCTTCTCCCTCTGTCTGTGTTTCTGCCTCTCTCTCAGGAATAAATAAATAAAATATTATAAATTAAAATAAATAAATAAAATAGTTGGGAAGCTCTTTTTTTCTTGATTGAACTGAAACATTTTATTTTCATTTCTTTTTTTTAATTTAAATTCAATTAACCAATTTATAGTAAGTACATCATTAGTTTCAGATGTAGTGTTCAATAATTTATCAGTTGCATGTAACACCCAGTGCTCATCATATCATGTGCCCTCCTTAATGCCCATCACCCAGTTACCCCGTCTTCCCAGTCACCTACCCTTCAGCGACCCTCAGTTTGTTTCCTAGAGTTAAGAGTCTCTCATAGTTTGTCTCCCTCTATGATTACTTCTTATTCAGTTTTCCCTCTCTTCCCCCTAAGGTCCTCTGCCCTGTTCCTTATATTCCACATATGAGTGATACCATATAATTGTCTTTTTCTGATTGACCTATTTTACTCAGCATAATACCCTCTAGTTCCATCCACTTTTATGTAAATGAGTTGAAACATTTTAATAGCATTGGTGCTGTGATTTGATACAGAATTCACTGGTGAAACTTTCTGGGCCTAGTGCTGATGTTTGCTTGCCTTTTCTCTGTCTCTCTTTCACAATTCTCTTCTCCCTACATACCTAAATTGAAATTGTACCATAGTACAAATATGGGTGGGGGCAAATGATATCACTTTCCTTGTCAGAATATGTTAAGAAACTGGAGGCTTTAGGGGTGGTGGAAGGGGAGGAGGGGGGGGGGTGGGGGTGAATGGGTGACGGGCACGGAGGGGGACACTTGACGGGATGAGCACTGGGTGTTATTCTGTATGTTGGTAAATTGAACACCAATAAAAATTAATTTATAAAAAAAAAAAGAAACTGGAGGCTTTAACTTTGTAAGAAATAATCAGAATGTTTATTTTGTTAGGTAATATGAAAAAAAAATTTATGTTGTTGAATCTTTTTTGAGTACTTAACCATAATGTACCTTTTTACAAATGTATTCGTTGTTACAGATGTTCATTTTTACTTGCTGGACCTGTAATTAATCTCTGTTTCTTTATTGTATAGAAATTTACAGCAACAATGTCTACACCAGATAAGAAAGCCTCACAGAAGATTGGTTTTCGATTACGTAACCTACTGAAGCTTCCCAAAGCACATAAATGGTGCATATACGAATGGTTCTACTCAAATATAGATAAGTATGTATCATGGCTTACATCATGGGTATCACTTGAACCAGAAATTTAAGTTTTTCAAACGTTACAAGCTATATTCTTTTCTGTAGGCCTGTTTTGATTCTTCTTTTCCCTTAATTTTTCCTTTTTTTTTTTTTTTAAGCAGCAAGATTTTTTTTTTTTAAAGATTTTATTTATTTATTCATAGAGATGCAGAGAGAGAGAGAGAGAGAGAGAGGCAGAGACACAGGCAGAGGGAGAAGCAGGCTCCACTCAGAGAGCCTGACGTGGGACTCAATCCAGCATCTCCAGGATCATGCCCTGGGCTGCAGGTGGCGCTAAACCGCTGCGCCACCAGGGCTGCCCAATTTCTTTTTTTTTTTTTATTCTTCATTCTTCTTTGACCCATTTCCATTCCTCATAGCTTTCTTTTCCCCTTCCCTGCTTTGGAGAAGTTATACTTTTTTTTTTTGTTATACATTTTTATGAAAGTATAACCTATATTATAATTTACAAAGACTGTGGAATGGAGATACCCTAGAACAAAACTCCTTTATTTGTAATGAACGAGATATGTTTTTTCCTTTTTTTTTTTTTTAAGACTTTTATTTATTTTAGAGATAGGAAGTATGAGCAGGGAGAGGGGCAAAGGGAAAGGGGGAAGCAGACTCTGCTCTAGGCAGGGAGCCTGATGCAGGGCTTGATTCCAGGAGCCTGGGATCATGACCTGAGCTGAAGGCAGACACTTAACCTCCCAGACGCCTCTAGGATAGTCTTTCTATTTCAGACATAACATTTATATACTTTAATTATACGTAAATGTTTAAACAGAACATAGTAAGAGATTTGCGTGAAATCCAATTTTTTTTTTAAGATTTTATTTATTTATTCATGAGAGACAGAGAGAGAGAGAGAGAGAGAGAGAGAGAGAGAGAGGCAGAGACACAGGCAGAGGGAGAAGCAGGCTCCATGCAGGGAGTCTGACGTGGGACTCTACCCTGGGTCTCCAGGATCACACCCTGGGCTGAAGGCGGCGCTAAACCTGCTGGGCCACCGGGGCTGCCCAGATGTTTGTATTTGAACCCAAGACATTCATGTGTCATTGATTGCTGAGACTGGTTCCTGGTTTCCTAAACTCATGAATGAAATTGTTTTATTTTGTGTTTAAAATTTTTAATTAATTAATTAATTTTTAAAATATTTTATTTATTTATTCATGAGAGACACAAAGAAAGAGAGAGGCAGAGACACAGTCGGAGGGAGAAGCAGGCTCCACCCAGGGAGCCCAATGTGGGACTCAATCCCGGGTCTCCAGGATCACGCCCAGGGCCAAAGGCAGCACTAAACTGCTGAGCCACCCGGGCTGCCCTAGAATTTTTAATTTTTTTTAAAGCTTTATTAATTTTATTTGACACATAAAAAAAAACAAGTAGGGGGAGCAGCAGGCAGAAGGAGAGAGAGAAGCAGACTCCTCACTGAGCAGGGAGCCCGATGTGGGGCTCAATCCCAGGACCCCTGGGATCGTGACCTGAGCAAAGGCAGATGCTTCACCAAGCCACCCAGATGCCCCAAAATTGTAAATTTATTTTATTATTATTATTTTTTAAGGTTCTATTTCTTTATTTGACAGAGAGAAAGCACAGCAGGGGGAGCAGCAGAGGAAGAGGGAGAGAGAAGCAGGCTCTCTGCTGAGCAGGGAGCCCGATGTGGGGTTTGATCCCAATCCTGAGACCATGACCTGAGCTAAAGGCAGATGCTTAACCAACTGAACCACCCAGGCACCCTTAATTTCTTTTTTTTTTTAAGATTTTATTTATTTATTCATGAGAGAGACAGAGAGAGGCAGAGACACAGAGGGAGAAGCAGGCTCCATGCAGGAAACCTGACGTGGGACTTGATCCTGGGTCTCCAGGACCACACCCTGGGCTAAAGGCAGCACTAAACTGCTGAGCCACCCGGGCTGCCCCCTAATTTCTTTTTATTTTATTTTATTATTATTATTTTTTAAGATTTTATTTATTCATGAGAGACACACGGAGAGAGAGGCAGAGACATAGGCAGAGGGAGAAACAGGCTCCATGCAAGGAGCCCGATGTGGGATTCGATCCCAGGACTCCAGGATTATGCCCTGGGCCGAAGGCAGGCACTAAACTGCTGAGCCACCCAGGGATCCCCCTAATTTCTTTTTAAAAGACCTTATTAAAGTCTAATCTCTGTATCCAACGTGAGGCTCAGATTTACAGTCCCAAAATCAAGAGTCACGTGCTCTATGGACTGACCCAGCCACGCACCCCTGAAATTGTTTTATTTTCATCCACTGATTTTTCCGTAGTTTATGAGGCTTTCAGGGTATCTTGGTGTGATCTGAGTTCTGGAATTCCTAAGAACTGATATAACCCTCTAGAGTCCTCTGATTTTCTAAAATTTACTTACTCTCAAAGAGGACTCCTTGCTGTTGGTATTACCTTTGGGACAAAGATACTTTGTAGCTAACATTGTTCATCTTCACTGGATGTAATGACAGTGCCAAGATATACTAGGATATACTCATATGTGAGATTTAGCAAAAATCAGAGTCTCCTGGAATCTCCAGCACAGACATTTCTTGAGTAAATTGTACACATTAATTGTTTCACAAATGCCACTTTTAGTTTTAACAGTTTAAAGTTGTGCCAATTTTGTATATGTCCTGGGTAGAAGTGAAAGGTGCATTTGGGGATTAGTATAATGTTGAAAATTGGAAAGCATATTTTGAATTTATGCCTCTGAAATAATTGTGATTAACCACTAAATTACCATTTCTGTCTTACAGACCACTCTTTGAAGGTGATAATGACTTCTGTGTATGTCTGAAGGAATCTTTTCCTAATTTAAAAACAAGAAAGCTAACAAGAGTAGAATGGGGAAAAATCAGGCGACTTATGGGAAAACCACGGAGGTAAAAATATTTTTATTTAAAATAAACCAGTAAGTTAGTTGGTAGTATAATTACCACATTGATTCCTTTTCATCTTTGCAAAGACTAGTCCTGAAACATAACTTTTCAGAATCATTATATTTTAAATATATCCTGATAACTAGCTTTAATATAGGTGCTTTTTATATCTATGCATCTTAAAATTATTTTTTTTTATAATTTTTTAATTTTTTAATTTATTTATGATAGGCACACAGTGAGAGAGAGAGAGAGGCAGAGACACAGGCAGAGGGTGAAACAGGCTCCATGCACCGGGAGCCCGACGTGGGATTCGATCCCGGGTCTCCAGGATCGCGCCCTAGGCCAAAGGCAGGCGCTAAACCGCTGCGCCACCCAGGGATCCCGCATCTTAAAATTAAATACAGTTCCATTTTTGTTCAAATTATAGGATTCGAACATAATTTTCTTACATTCTCTATGCCCCACTATGTTCCAAAAAATATTTAAGAATATACTAGAAAATATATTTGATCCTTTAACACTGTGGAGGTTAGGGATGCCGACCCTGCACAGTCAAATCTTCATATAACTTTTGACTCCCCCCCCCAAAACCTAACTACTAGTAGTTTACTATTGACTGGAAATCTTACTGATAATATAAACAGTCAATAACACATATATATTACTGTGTTCTTACAATAAAATAAGCTGGAGAAAAGAAAATGGTATTAAGAAAATCATAAGAATGGAAGATACATTTATAGTACCATACTATATTAAAAAAAAATCCATGCATAAGTGGACCTGAGTGGTCACATCCTTGTTTTTTAGGAGTCCACTATATTTAATGAAGCTCTTGGGGTATACTAATACATTGTTATCTTTTTAGAAACCATCTATCACTGCAAAAGCCTTCTTACATATTTTACTTTATATAAAAACAAGATAAGGGGGTAGGGTGAGATGGGTGAAGGGGATCAAAAGATAGAACCTTGCATTTATGAGTCATGGAATGGAATGTATAGTGGATGACTATAGTTAATAGTATTGTAAAGCTTTTTTTAAAAAAATATTTTATTTATTTATTAGACTGTGAGAGAGCATGAGTGAAGGGTGGGGAGAGGGAGAAGCAGGCTCCCCACTGAACAGGGAGTCTGATGTGGGGCTTGATCCCAGGACCCCGAGATCATGACCTGAGCCAAAGGCAGATGCTTAACTGACTGAGCCACCCAAGTGGCTGTAAAGCATATTTTAAAGTTGCTGATGGTAGATCTTAAAAGTTCTGATCACAAGAAAAAAAAAATTGTAACTATATATGGTGACAGATGTTAACTAGACTTAGTGTGGTGATCATTTCACAATATATACAAATATTGAATCATTCTGTTGTACACCTGAAGGTTACATAGTGTCTTATATATCTATTATACCTCAATAAAACAAAAACGCATTCTATCTAAAAACAAAAACAGAAAAACCCCAGAAAGAAAAATCAAGTGAATCTCTCCAATATGTTATTTTCTGAAAATTACTTTTCATGTGAAATAACTTTTCCCTTTGTAGTGTTATCTTGCTTTCTAACACAGCCACCCAGATATCCCTGGCTTCTTTGGTTTCTTAAAAGGGTTAAACATACACTGACCATACGACCCTGCCATTCCACTCTTAGGTATTTAGTTAAGAGAAATGAAAGCCTATATTTATACAAAAACCTATACACAGGGACACCTGGGTGGCTCAGCAGCTAAGTGTGTGTCTGTCTTCGGCTCAGGCGTGATCCTGGAGTCCCGGAATCAAGTCCCACATCAGGTTCCCTGCATGGAGTCTGCTTTTCCTTCTGCCTATGTGTCTGCCTCTCTCTCTCTCTCTCTCTCTCTCGTGAACAAATAAATAAAATCTTAAAAAAAAAAACCTATACACAAATGTTCATATCAACTTTGTTGTAATAACGCCAAACTAAAAATAATACAAATGTCCACCAGTAGGTGAATGGATAAACAAACGGTGGCCATTCATAGAAATGGATACTGTTCTCCAATAAAAAGAATGAACCATTGGTACATGTAACAACACAGGTTAATCTTGGAATAATTCTGCTGAGTGAAAGAAGCCTGACAAAAGAGTTCATTCTACATGATTTCATTTGTATAAGATTTTACTTTATTTATTTATTTATTTATTTATTTATTTATTTATTTATTTATTTATTTATGTTTTTTGTATAAGATTTTAAAACGTAGAAACTATAATGACAGCACTTCAGCAATTGCTTGAGAAGTAGGGGTACAGAAATGGGAGGGATGCGAAGGAGGGATAATAAAATGCCACAAGGAAACTTTGTGGAGTGATGTCTTCAAATGTTCATTATCTTGTCTGTGATGATTGTTTTATGGATATATATTTTGTGACACGGAAGCTATATTTAAGTTACTTTGATTCATCCCAGTATTTGAAAATAGAAGTAAAACAGTCCCTAAAGATAAGAGTAAATTCGGTATTTATAGCTTCAAGGCAGGAAGTATGATTAAACATTTACACAGTGGTAAGCCTCATCTTTAGTTCTATATTGGTGGGCTCATGGGGTCACAGGGAAAATATCATGTTCTTCTGAATAGAATATTGTAATTGAACATTGTCCCAGAGGGAGTCCTGTGATCCAGATGCAGTGTTGTCAGAGGATTGGTGGGCAAATCCTCATGCTTTGTAGGAAAGGATGATGTAGACTTGCTTATAAATCTTTAAGTCTTGCAAAGTCCTCTATTTTTAAAAAGATATAATTTACTTTAGAGATTATTATTTCTAAGAACTCATTTTTAAATACAATTACTTGAAAGAAAGAGGAAAAGAAGTAACAGTGAGATGGATGGTTTGATTTCAAGTTTTGGGTTTTTGTTTATTTGTTTTAAGATTTATTCACTTTAGAGAGGGAGAGAGCGAGTGAGCGCAGAGTGGGTAAAGGGAGTGGGAGAGTAAAACTTTTGCAGACTCTCCCTGAGCTCAGAGCCCAACCTGGGGCTCAGTCTCATGACTCTGGGATCATGACCTGAGCTGAACCCAGGAGTCAGATCTCAACCGACTGTGCCACCCACGGACCCCCTGATTGCAAGTTTTGTATAGGATAGTTATCAGTTTATATGATTTTTATAATTTATTCTAGATGTTCTTCTGCATTTTTTGAGGAAGAGAGATCAGCATTAAAACAGAAACGACAGAAAATAAGGCTCTTGCAACAAAGGAAAGTTGCAGATGTTTCCCAGTTCAAAGATCTCCCAGATGAAATTCCTTTGCCTCTGGTTATCGGGACCAAAGTTACAGGTAAGTGAAGATAAGCTCTTTACCATTTTGCTTTATAATTTTAACCTAGATAACCACTAGACCAATGGCTTTTAAATTTAAAAAGCATAAACTATAGTTCTATAGGAGTATATTATAGAAGTTATTATTTTATCATCTGTGATGTCTGGTTTTTTGGTGTTTTTTTTTTTCTTTTTTAAGATTTATTTTTTATTTATTCACGAGAGACACAGGGAAGCAGAGACCTAGGCAGAGAGAGAAGCAGGCTCCCTATGGGGAGCCCAATGCGGGACTTGATCCCAGGACTCCTGAATCGTGGTCCTCAGCTGAAGGCAGATGCTCAACTGCTGAGCCACCTGTAATGCCTCAACTGCTGTAATGTCTATTTTTTAAACTACTTGGGAAAAAGTACAATTTATGTAATACAAGAAATAACAAAGGAGTTAAGTGAGTAGATAAATTAGTAATTATACTGAAAGGGCCCCCTAAAGCTCTCTAAAAGCAATATTTTAATGTTTTTATTTGATCTAGAGCAGGGGTCAGCAAAATATGGCCCATGGCCCAAATCTAGTTTGCTACATATTTATCTATGGTCTGTCAGATAAGAATGGACCTCATTAAGGAAGAAAGATGCTCTCAATTTAGTTCATAACTGAAAAAGACTTAACAATAAGAGCAAGCAGGCAGGGCCAAAAAAATTTGCCAGTAATTTTTTGTCTACCAGAAAAAGTTCAACATATTGTCTAACATACAATACAAAATGACTGAACCTATGAAGAAACATGAACACAACTTCTATAGTCGAGAAAAAGCCATCAGTAGAATTAGTTGCTGAGATGGCTCAGATATTGGAATTAGCAGTGGCTTCAAAATGTTTGTTATAAAACATGTTCAAGAACTTAAATGTAAATGAAATCATAATGAATGGGGATATCTCAGTATATAGAGGAATTATTTAGATGTAACAAATTTAGAAGTGAAAAGTGCAGTATCTGAAAAGAAATTCTCAGTGGGCTTAAAAACAGATTGGAAACAGCAAAGCAAGGGTCATTGAATCTGAGAATATATCCATAGAAATTATCCCACTGTGAGAACAGGGTGAAAAAACTGGAGAAAACTGTAGTAGAGCCTCAGAGACCTCTGGGACAATTATTAAGCAATGTAACAGATGTTTAATTAGAGTCCCTAAAAGGAAAGGAGAGACACAGTGGCCGCGGGGAGCGGGGGGAGACAAAGGATAAAATGTTCCCACATTTTTTTTTTCCTTTGCCACATTTGTTTTTAAAAAGGTACAGATCCAAAATACTCTGAACCCAAGCCAGATAACCCACATGTATGCAAAGCCCATAATTAGATACCATACAGAAAAAGTACAGAGAAAATCTGGAAAGCGGTCATAGAAAAACAACATACTACATAAGAGGAACACTGATATGAATAGCAGCTGACTTTACATAAAAAAATATGCCAAAAAAAAAAAAAAGCCAGAAGTAATGCCAAAGATATTTTTCAGATTGAAGGGAAATGATGGAACCGCAAATCTACAGAAAGAAGAAAACACCAGAAAATGGCAAATATGTGTAAAATAGAACAATCATGTTGTAAGCTTCTTGAATTTTTTATAAGACCATACAATGTTGACTATGAGTAGAGTGTAATAAGTAAAGATTGGGTATTCTAATCTGTAGAGTATTGAGGTTCAGAACCTTCAAGGTGCATCAGAATTACCTAGAGGGCTAGATGAAACAGATTGCAGACCCCACCCCCTTCTGAGTTTCTGATGCAGAAGATCAGGCGTAGGGCCTGAGAATTTTCATTTTTTAACAAGATTCCAAGTGATGTTGATGCTGTTGGTGTGGGGTTATCCTTTGAGAACTAGTAGAAGGACCTACTTTTTTTTTAAAACGAGAGGGAGTAAAGGTATCTTTAGCAGGCTCCACACCCAGTGCAGAGCTGGATATGGAGGTCAATCTCACAAAAGATTGAGTCACAATCAAGACTCAGACACTTAATCAACTGAGCCAGCCAGGCGCCCCAGGAGCTACTTTTTAAAAAATGCTAAGAGGCATACTTAAAAAAGCCAATAGAGAAGTTAATTTTGAAATTCTAACAGTTAAAACATGATGAGAAAGAAAGGACAGGGAAACAAAAAAACACATGGAGTAAATAGAAAATAAATAGCAAGATGGTAGACTCAAGTCTGGTCCTATTTTCATTATATTAAATGTCAATGAACTAAGCACTATACTGAAAAAGTAGAGATTATCAGACTGAATAAAAAAAAAGAAGTGCCCAACAATATGCTATCTTTAAGAATTGTACTTAAAATATATAATCACAGATCTTTCTTTTTTCTTTTCTTTTTTCTTTTCTTTTCTTTTTTCTTTTCTTTTCTTTTCTTTTTTTAAATTCATGAGAGAGAAAGAGAGGCAGAGAACACAGGCAGAGGGAGAAGCAGGCTCCATGCAGGGAGCCCGACATGGGACTTGATCCCCAGACTCCAGGATCATGCCCTGGGCCAAAGGCAGGCGCTCAACCGCTGAGCCACCCAGGTGTCCCGAATCACAGATATATTAAACAAAAGTGTGAAGGGAGTCCTGAGAAGCTCAGTGGATTAGTGTCTGCCTTTGGCTCAGGGCATGATCCCAGTCCTGGGATCGAGTCCTGCATCTGGCTCCCTGTGAGGGGCCTTTGCCTGTGTCATTGCCTCTCTCTGTGTATCTCTCATGAATAAATAAATAAAATCTTTAAAGAAAAAAAAAGTGTGAAAAGGATGTGGCATGCAGATACCACAGACTGTTGAGGTGGCTATATTGACATTAGACAAAGTAGAGTTCAAAACAAGGAGTATTACCAGAGAGAGAGAGGAATATTTGATAATGATAAAAACGGTCATTTCAGCAGAAAAATGCAACAATCCTAATTACATTCATTAGTAAGTCCCTAATAGCAGAACTTTAAAATACTTAAAGCAAAAACTGAGACAGCTAAGGAAGCTATATACAGAAGATCATATGGTAAATTTTAACACCTCTCTCCCAGGAACTGAGAAGAGGGAAAGAAATCAGTACAAACATACAGAATCTGAAAAACACTGTCAATTATGTCAGTTGATATATATTTTTAAAGATTTTATTTATTTGAGGGCAGCCCCGGTGGTGCAGCGGTTTGGCGCCGCCTGCAGCCTGGGGTGTGATCCTGGAGACCTGGGATCAAGTCCCACGTCAGGCTTCCTGCATGGAGCCTGCTTCTCTCTCCGCCTGTGTCTCTCGTTCTCTCTGAATGAATGAATGAATAAAATCTTAAAAAAAAAAAAGATTTTATTTATTTGAGAGAGAAAGCAGAAGCTGGGAGGAGGGGCAGGGGAAGAGGGAGAAGCAGACTCCCTCCTGAGCAGGAAGCCCAATGTGGGGCTCGATCCCAAGACCTTGAGATCATGACCTGAGCCAAAGGCAGATGCTTCATGGGCTGAGCAACCCAGACCCCTCCTAAATAAATATTTAAAAAAATATATATCTGTTCTGGGGTACTTGGCTGGCTCAGTTGGAAGAGCATATGACTCTTGGTCATCGATTTGAGCCCCCATATTGGGGGTAGAATTTAACGTCAAAAAAAAGAATTAATAGGGCAGCCTGGGTGACTCAGCAGTTTAGCGCTGCCTTTGGCCAAGGGCCTGATTCTGGAGACCCGGAATCGAGTGGGACTCGAGTCCCAATCAAGTCCCTCCCTGCATGGAGCCTGTTTCTCCCTCTGCCTGTGTCTCTGCCTCTGTGAGTGTGTGTCTCATGAATAAATAAATAAAATCTTTAAAAAAAAAAAAGAATAAATTTTTTTTTAAAAAGTCAGTTCTGCCAAGATTGATATGCTGAGGCAGACAGTCCAAATCACAGTGGACATTTTCTTTTTTTCTAATGAAATTGATATGCTTATTCTAATATTTCTATGAAAGTGGGAAGGATAATCTAACTCAGAAGTAGATCCTCACATATGTGCAGTTGACTTCCCAAAGGTATCAAGTATTTCAGTGGAAAGGGACGGCATTCCAGTAATGCTGGAGTAATTAGATATCCATATGAACCTTGGCATTTCCTCACACCATGCAAAAAAACTTTACCTAGGATGGACCAAAGGGCAGGGACCTGAGTGGTTCAGTCAGTCGAGCATTTGCCTTCATTGCAGGTCATGATCTCAGGTTCTTGGGATGGAGCCCCGCATCAGGCTCCCCGCTCAGCGGAGAGTCTGCTTCTCCCTCTGCCCCTCCCCTCTGCTTGTTTTCTCTCTCTTTCTGTCTCTGTCTCTCTCTCTCAAATAAATTAAGTCTTTAAAAAAAAAAAGACCAAAGGGCTAAACATAAAAGCTAAGATTATAAAGCTTCTATAAGTAAATACAGGAAAATATCCTTGGGATTTGTAAATAGGCAGAAATTTCTTGGATCTGACAAAGAAGATAACAAAAGATGTTTTTTAGGTTTAATTTTAAAACTTGCTCTTTAAAAGCACCATTAAGAAAATAAATAGGCAGGCCACATATTGAGAATAAATATTTCCAAAATATATATTTGAAAAAAGACCTGTATCTAGAAAATATAAAGAACTCTAAGTTAGTAATAGAAAGGCAATCTGGTTCAAATAACTAGACAAAACACTTGAATGGACACTTATGAAAGGAAAATATATGAATGGCCAATAAGCATATAAAAAAGTATTCAACATCATCAGTCATTAAGAGAATGCAAATTAAAAGCATAATGAAGTACTCACACCAGAATGGCTAATGTTGAAACAACCAGTGCCACCAAGTGTTGTTAAAAATGTGGAGCTACCATAGTTCCTGGGCTTTTTTGGTGGTATTGTGAAATGGTCCACCACTTTGTAGAAAAGTGTTGTAGTGTTTTACAAAATTAATTCTATGCCTGCCCTGTGATCGAGTTGTTGTCTTCCAAGGTATTAAATTAAGAGAAGTGAAAACAGCTGTCCACAGAAAGCTAGCTATGTCATAGAATGTTCATAGCATCTTTGTTT